GCATGAGATTACTGGGGACCTGCTACACCATATCAAAGTCACAGTGATAAGCAAAGACATGTACCCTTTTCTGTTCATAGTTATCAATCAATTTGCATTTAACCCTTTGCTTATACCCTCCTGGGCCGACATCAAAAGCTCTTCAAAATCTAGGTCTTGCTTGCCTACTTCACTTCATTTCTCATTACTGTTAGCCTTCTGCTTTGAGCTTCAGAAACATCCAGTTTCTTGTCGTTTTCTATTAGTAACAAGTTGCTCTCATTCCTATATCTCTGGTGTTACAGAAACTGCTGGTTAAAATGACCTCTCTCTTTTTCTAATCTGCCCCTTCCTATTCCTCCTTTAAGAGTTAGATGTGGCATATAGGTCCCCTGAGAAACTGACCGAACATTCCTCGTTCATAAATGTGGTTGTTTAAAACCCGATGCCTGATTTTCCCATGGTATTTTGTATCTTGTCATTTTACCTGCCATCTTGTAATTATTTTACCATTTCTAGTCCCTTGTTTAGACTCAAAGTGTTTTGGAGGCAGGGGCTGTATTTTGGGGAGACACTTCTTGAGTCCCTTGGGTTTCTACCTGTCATGAGCAAAGGCATGGATTGCCTTTGTTCTATGCTATCTTGTCAAGAATGCTGGAATGAACAGTCTTGGCAGATATTCATAGTGTCTTCCTCATGTGTGAAGGGCGGGTTTGTTTACTGACCAGAAAAATGAAGATCATGTTTTACTACAGGGCAAAGGGCAGGAAAGTTGATTTACTGCTGATAATAAAATAATAAGGTTCTTTAAACTCAAGTTTTATCTCTTACAATAAATGAGTTGACTTATTGCTAGAAAATAAAAGCAGAAATAATTTTTAAAAACAGCACAAACTGATGAGTGCACTTAGCCGGCATCTTTGCAATAATATCTGTGTTTCTACTTAGCCATCTCTAGTGTCTTCAGTGGGTTTCCAACATGGCTTCCAGAATCTGTCTCCTAACTACATTGTTGTGTTTGCCAGAAGAGAACTCAGACTTTTTTGTGACATTGATTTGGAGCATGAACCCAACTGTCATTGATATCAATGCCATTTCTTATATGTTGACTAGGGCAAGATCTTTCGTACAACTAAAACTATCTGGTGTGTTTAATACCTTTGAATCATTGAGCTTAAAAATAGAAAACATTAAAAGCATAGTATATCCAACAGACTGTGCAAACCACAAAATTTTACAATGCAGGTCCTAAAGTAAAGTAAGGCCTCTACTTGGCTGGCCCTATAGTCTGGCGATTAAAAGAGCTGGACTACACATGGCCTACCTTGATTCAAATCCCAGTCCCAGTGGCTAGAAAAACATGCTGGGCACCTATGGGTGTATTTCCAAAATACTGGACTCCCACATGGCCAACCAGTTTCAAGTCCTGGACATGTGTTGTATATGAACCTTTTTTAAACAAATGCTTCAATCTTTAGACTATATTTTATTCTGGTCATTTGTCTTGCCTTATAATTTTTGTTTAAAATTAGATATGTTTTGGGACAAGTAGTTGGTGTAATGGCTATGTTGCTGGACTCCCATGTAGTCAACGGTGGTTTGAGTCCCAGACCCGGTGGCTTAAACTCACGTCGGGCGCACATGCGTGCATGCCCAAGATCCCAAGAGAAGAATGGAAGAGAAGGGATTGCGGCATGGCCGTCCCCCCTGGGAGGGGTAATTTCTCACTTTCTGTCTCTCTGTATCTCTCTTTAGTCTGTCTTCTGTTGTCCTTTCTTCCCAGTCAGAAATTTGTGGATGTGTAGAAAGACACCAACACCAGCAATTGTAGCCTTGATGAGAGAGTGTAATTCCTCATCTCCATGAATAGCTAGTTGCAAATGACAAGGACTAATACACTGCTCTACCTTAAGTCTTTTAATGCATTTCCTGCCAGTTCAAGTACTTCTGTAGTGAGATACTCCAGGGTTGCTGAGTTGTACACAGCAGCAGTTGTCTATCCATGACTGGTTGGCCTAAGATTTCAGGTGTCTGAATACCATCTACCCAGAACTGCACTCTGGCTCTCTGTGAGTGGGAAATTGCCTTTGTCTTGGCCTTTCCCAAGTGCTTTCCAGCCTTACCACCAGCCATTTGGAATTCTGCTGAAGCTCACACAAGCAAGCCAGAAAAAGGGGTAGTCAGATACATGGTAAGAAACACCATCTACTCCTTCCTTGCACCAGAATTCAATCTGCTGCTTGGGGTTGTTTTAGTTCCTGATTTGCCTTGGCTACTCTGTCAGCTTTGATCTCTGAGGTCATGAAGTCTTCTTGTCTAACCCTCTCACCAAGTAGTTTTTCTGTTCTTTTCTGGTACACAGAGGTGTTTATTTCACTTCTATTTTATTTGTTTTTATATTCATCCACTTAGAGTATGATATGCAAGACCTTTCCATTCATTGTTTATTTTTATCTGAGGGTTACTTCTTAAAACCGCCCACTTCTATAGACTCAGTGGGAAACAATCTTCACAGTGAAACAGATAACACTTCCATGCTTGATACCTTTGGCATGTAAAAATTTAATAGGCACACTCTTTTTTTTTTTTCTTTTCGAAAGAATCATTTATTTTATTGTTATTATTTAAGTTTCCTATAGGAAATGTGCACTCACCAGGGAGTGAGAAAGCAAGTCTCCAAGAACAGGAGTCAAACCGAGGTTAGCCATGTGTGAGTTCAGCACTGTAACCATCACACCACCTGCTGGCCCAGTAGGCACACTTAATTCTTTCAGACAAGTTGGTGGTAAAGGTACTGGCTATGCTTCTTAGAGAATACAACATTCTATAGAAATTCAGCAAAAATTATTTGTTCATAATCCAAAAATATATTGTAATCCTCACACAACATTTTGTTTTTTTATATCATTCCAACCAGGAATGATATAAAATAGAAATAAAGTGGTTTCTTCAAAATGTATTTTGTTCTGGCACTAACTTCAGAGTATATGCTTTTAGGGGAAGAATTCTTATTTTCTTTCTTTGGCTAGCTCAACTTTTTTTAAAGAGGAGAGTTTTTTTTTTAAACAATTAAAAAATTTTTATATATGATTATTATTATTTTCAATTTGCTAATGGCATGTGCACTCACCAGAGAGAGACAGACAGAAAGTGAGAAAGCAAGTCACCAAGTCTGGGACTTGAACCATGGTTGACCAAGTGGGAATCCAGCACCTTAACCCCCACATCACCTGGTGGCCCCTGGTCAATTCTTTTTAAATGTCTGGCTTTGCATTTTAACTTATTTGAAGAATACTTTATTAATTAAAGTCGATAATTGTATTACTTCAACAGACTCTACCCATTTGTGGTGGATATAAGAAAGAGTGACATTTGTATAAACTGGTTCTTCAGATTTCAGGACATTTGGGCTAATCTAGCCGTTACGGTTTATGCAAGAATATGTTCAGTATAATTAAGGCAAGTGTCATGCATATAATTAACTTTACAAAGATTACATTTCCTGAAGACTTTGTGCAATATTTGGTTTAGAAATACCTTTATACTTCCCATAGAAGTGATATAAAGGTATTTTCCTCATAGAAGTGACATAAAACATTTATTTCTGTTTCTAGATGAATCCATTTACCTAACTGAGCTCAGATGTTGAGAAGCACATCAATGTAACCACCTACATATAGTGCAACATTATTTTGTCAAATGAATTCTGACTAACAGTACTTAAAATCATTTTCATTTTTTCACAGGAGAGATTCACGACAATTTTTAAATTCAGTTTGAGAACAAAATTGTCTATCATGTTGTGTTTAACTGTCATTATTAGGGCTTTATTTCTTCTCCTTTTAAGATTATTACACGACTCAGACACTATCACTGCACTTTGTTTAGTAAACAGCGTTGTTTTATTTTAATTTAATTTTTTTTTTACTGATAAAGAGTTTAATGATTCTTCACAGGTTTCACCCATTTATGTCCAGAGCAAATGGAATGCCTAAAGAAACTGTTGAAGATTTAAAGTCTCTGTGAACTCTGAGTTAGTGTATGTGCATCATTGCCAAAGTACCATAAAACATGTTTTTAAAATAAGATGGTAGTTTTTCTCTTTTTTTGTACTATTCTTCATTTTTTTTCATCTTTACATTTTCCCCTTTTTCTCCCCTTTCTCACAGTCCTCCTCCCCCAACCCCCCCTTCTCTTTCTCTGAAGGAGCAATGAGAGAATGAGGAAGGTGTAGGGACCTTGTCAGGAGAAGAGGTCGAAGAGGATTTATAGTGCCTTATATTTTGAGCTATGGTTTAGAACAGCCAGACATGTCTCTATTGTTCCCCCAAAGTGAGGGGGAAGAGTTTCAACTTCTCTATTTATAGTTAGAGTTAGTCCAGATGGTTTGCCACTATTGTTATTTATTTTTTTCTGGTGGGGATGAAACACCGGGAAGCATTTTATTAAAGAGTTGTTAAGGAACAGGACTTTCACCCATCGCTGAATCTCCATGAGTTTAGCTAACTGAATCTTTGTCGAGTGAGCAGTTCTTGGCCTGGGATATATCTGAATCAGTGAGTTCAGCAACTGTGTGCAAATGGATTGGAATAATGGGATTTTTGTGGATTATAAAAGAAACTACACACATGAAAATCTTGGTAATCTGAAGAACTACAGTGGTACTTAGAAACAGTACCCTGGAATCCATTTTCATCCTATCTTTTCCCTTAAATGTCATAAGCAGAGTTAAAAGGGGCCATCTCCATTACCTCCCTTCTGCATGCTGTCATCTCTCCTGAATTTGGATAAAAACCTTTCAGGATAGAAATTTGTTTGGAGACAAGAAGTGCAGGGGGAAAGTGTGTTTTTGGAGTCTGTATGGCATGTATATGGGTGATCCATGTGTGTGTGAGTGTGTATATGTGAATGCACATGTGTGGGAGGGTGTGTCAATGTATGTGTGTCTGCATTTGCCTGTGCATGTGCCTGTGTGTGTGTTTGTGTGTGTGTGGGTGATGGTGTCTCTATAGTGTGTGTGCGTGTGTCTGTGTGTCCCTGTGTGTGAGTGTGTGTGTCCCTGAGAGCTGCAGCCGGAGCGGGAGAGGCTGCTTCAGCTGAGCCAGTGGCAGACCAGTTAGTACATAACTAATAGCGAGAAAGGAGGCTGGGGAGAGACTAGGAAGAGAAGCAACCGACCTTGTTAACAAAAGCTTGGTTTTGTCCCTGTGGACCCCACCGGCAGAGGGGACTGTGAGCTGCAGCTCTTCGCCAGGGTGTCAGGCTCTCTGCACAGTCAAAGGCATCCTTATCCTGCCCTTCTCAGGGGAGTCCTGAGGCTGGCAGTCGGGAAGTTTTCAAAGCCGCAGCAGCAGCCTGGAAGACCAGCAGAGAGACTGGCGCGAGAATGTGAACTTCAAGTATATATTTTTTTGTTGGGTGGGATAATGGATTTTCAGTACAAAGAAACTTAAACTCAGCTGACCTGAAAGACTGGAATTTCAGCTCTCTTCCTCCCCTGGGTTCCTCTTCCTCCCCCTTGCTCTCGAAGCCCTGTAAACCAGATTACAGGGTCAGTGACTCTTCTGCCCACCAGTTCCAAGGGTTTCTTGCGTGGAAAGGAAAACCAGTACCTGTAAGTATCTGCTTTATTGCTTCCTCTCATCTCAACTGTGAATGTCCTGTGAGTGGAATCCCCAGAGGTTGTTTGCGTGGTGTCATTAATGCCAAGAAACAATGCAAGAAGTCTGCAGTTGGCTTGCAAAAGTGTAATTCTCATGTTAACTCCGTGCTAACAGACCAAATGCCAAAAATCAAATTCTCTTTATTACCTGGTACAATTTTCTAACTCTCTCTGAATCCATCTGAGATGGTACTCACCAACAACATAACTGTTTTTAGATTTTGTGATTTCTTTCCCCTGAGATTAGCATGTTTCTTCTCAACTAAATGCAACAGCAAAGGGAAAAGGTGCAAAATTTAACAAAACAGATAATACCCTCATGGTAGGAAGTTATAGAAATCTGGATGAGATGAGATGGTTTCTGGATGTCTCTACTTTACTTAAATTTGGATATATGTTTTCAGAAGCATGATTTCTGTTTTATGGGGGTGAGAGATTCGTGTTTAGGGAGTCTAAGAAATGGTTCTGAAGTTTTGAATTGACTTTTAGGCTCTGTCTTTAACTCATGCTGAGATTTGGTCCAGAGACTTTGGTGCCATCGTAAATAGTTTCTTTTAATTTTCATCTGGACTACAGAAGTAATTTTCAAGGCATTTCATTTTAGTTTATGTTTTCTGTGTGTGTTTAGCTATTGCCCTCAGTCTTTTGCATGGTGTGAATTACAAAGCTTATAAAAGAGCATTTCTGGGGGTTGGTTGGTGTTTACAGCCTGGGAATCTTGCTGAAAAGATTAACCTCTTCAGGCCTGCTTTGCAGACCAGAGCTGTAATCCAAATGCTCTTCAGGGTTCTGTTCTGGAAAACTGATACTTCTGTTCCCTGCTGGAGGGAAAGTTTGAAGAGTGCTTCTTAGACCCCTGCCTACACTTGACAAAAGTACCTTCCAAGTTAACTCTATGACCATGCTCCCAACCTCTTCCTAAAGGATTCTCAAAACTTAATGTAAAAAAAACCCTGGGAGCTTGGTAGAAGGCAGGTTCCTAGCCCCAACTCCCAAAATGGGTTAGTTAAACCTGAGGTGAGGCCAGGAATCTGCCCAGGTGATTCTGATGTGGGTGAAACCCCATTTAAATAAACACAGTCTGCATTGTCCTTGGTGATTAGTTCAAATTAATTTTTAATATGTGCTTGGTTAATGTGAAACCTCAAATCTAAATAACCAGAGTTTGAGCTGATGCTGAATATAACGTGAGAACAAAAGGTTTTGCATGCTTGGCTAACAAACCAGTGATTCTCAACCAGCTTTCCCACAAGTCATCTCCCCTGCCACTTCTTCTTGCTCCACTTTCCATCTCTACTTCTCCATTCCCACAAGTGAAAAAAGGAGTTGGGCAAAGGAACCTGGGCACCAAGTTACCTTGCCTCTCTGTGTGTGCTGTGTGGCCTCATCTGGCCCAGCATGGTTAACCAATGTTTGTTTTGGGAACTTTCAACTCAGGGCTGTTCTTAATTAATTCTTTTCTAGTCTCTTGGGGATAGATGCTCCTGAGGACTGAACTAGATTTTTTTTGGGAGAGATTTTCGCTATAGGGCGTGTGCGCTCACCAGACAGAGAGAGACAGAGAGACAGAAAGCGAGACATCACCCCCCCCCCGGGAGGATGGCCACGCCGCAATCCCTTCTCCTCCATTCTCCTCTCGGGATCTTGGGCACGCACGCACACGCGCCTGGCGTGAGTTTTAAGCCACCGGGTCCAGGACGCAAACCGCGGTCGACTACATGGGAATCCAGCGACATAGCCATTATGCTAACTGCTGGTTCCCAAGGACTGAACTAGATTTTGAGAATCATTTACGAAGAGTCTTATTCTTAGAAACTGACTTTGGATTGAACCAACCCACAGGGATTGGAGAAACAGGAAGTGCTTCCCCGTGGTAAGGTCCTCAGATGACACTATATGACGGTGAGGACTCCTCTTCTATCTCTATCCCCACATTTTACAGCATTTACGATTTATAGGAAAAGTAAAGCAGGATGTGGTTATCAGAGCCCCTTTCTCTCTTCTGTCTCCTCATGCCAAGTATTTGGGGGTACCTGCCACATGCCAGGCTCACTGCTAGTGTCTAAGGATTCCCACATGCCCGATGTGAACAGAACAGACTGGTTCCTTGTCCCTGTGGTCTTACAAATCTTAGCAGTTGTTAACAAACTTGGATGAGCCACTTAATGGCTCGAAGCCTTAATTCCTCCCTCAGTAAATAAGCTGAATTACATGAGTTTCGTTACCTTCCTAGCTCTGACATTCTCCTATTGGCAGCCATGGCTTAGGCTTTTATATGGAGAAAAGGGGTATGGGAGCTTTTTAACATTTGTTTTGAGTACAGGCCCAACGATTTGGATTTCTGCTTTTCTTCAAAATATTTCTACTCTATCTTTTTGTTTTCCTTTTTTTTTTTTTTTAGGGGTTTTTGCCATAGGGCGCCTGTGCTCGCCAGGCAGACAGAGAGACACAGAGAGACAGAAAGCGAGAAATCACTCCCCAGGGGGGATGGTCACGCCGCAATCCCTTCTCCTCCATTCTCCTCTCGGGATCTTGGGCATGCACGCACACGCGCCCGGCGTGAGTTTTAAGCCACCGGGTTCGGGACATTAACAGTGGTTGACCACGTGGGAGTCCAGCGACATAGCCATTATGCTAACTGCTGGTCCCTCTACTCTATCTTTTAAGTTCACTTCCTCTCACAAAGAACAAAGACCACTGGTTTATCGAGTTAGACAAATGCCACCTTTTCAGAGCATGCAAGCCATTCTCACAATGGGATTCTGTAACTCTCTGGAAAGGCTGTCTCCCTGGGCCAGGTTACCTAGGAGGGCAGCCTCTTATCTTGTCTTAATCTGATGTTACGGTTACCTCTTTGGAGAGCTGGGTGGTCTGAACAGTACTTGACAGCTTCTATACACGCACAGCTTGCAACCTGACCTCTTCATTCAAGTGACCCAGCAGCATTTGTGCCACCAGGTGAGAGACTCAAACAGACCTTTGAGGGGCTGGAGAAAACACACACACACACACACACACACACACACACAAACACACACACACACACACACCTGAAAACAAATGTTCCCTAAAGAAATCTTGTCTATGCTGTATTTTGTCTGTAATGTAGCTTCTTTTACTGTGGTCATTGAGGCACTATTCCCAAGACTCTAAAACTTGGCCATCAAGATAAGAAATTACAGCTGTGATTGATATGCTTTTCTGACAAATGTAGCCTCGAGCTCTCTGAAGATGTTGTGTTGGATGAGAAATTGGGGACTGGAGGATAGAGGACAGTGATCTTGTCTAGTTAGGCTATTTTCTTTTCTTTTGTTTGAGAGAGAGTTTTTTGCTATAGGGTACATGTGCTCTCCAGAGAGACAGAACGCAAGAAATCACCCCCAATAGGGGATAGCCATGCCATAATCCCTTCTTCTTCATTCTTTTCTTGGGATTGTAGGCATTCATGTGCATACGCCCTGTGAGAGTTTTAAGCTGCCAGGTCTGGGATTCAAGCAGTTGACTACGTGGGAGTCCAGCGACGTAACCAATATGCCATCTGCTGGTCCCCTAGTTAGGCTATTTTTAACCAATATTCTTTGCTTATCACTGTTATGTTTTTATAGAAGACTAAACACGTTTTGGGGCTCACCATTATTCTTGCCTACTTACGGGACTGATGTTATTAAAAGACAGTGCCAAAAATATTCCTTTGGTGCATCATCCAAAAGCTACTAAGATTGTGTCACTTTTCACTACCACTTTGTCCTTAAGACTTTGCTATCTGGCTTCTTAGAGACAGGAGGGCAGATAAACACTTTAAGAAAAAGGAAGGTCTAGTCCTTCCATTGGGTGTTCTACCTCTCTGGGACTCGTCTTTGGATTTGATCAAGCGTTATCAGCTGCATAGTCTTTATAAACACTTTCTGCTCTCTTGTCTTAAAATAAATGAACAACAGCTTTGTCTCATGAGGTTATAGCAATGTTATGGTACCTTGATTCCAAGGCTTACCTTTCCTTTTAGCATGAAAATTCATTTTAAAAAGTATAAATCCAAACCATTACAAAGTTAGAAACAATTTCCCCCTCGACTATAACATGGTAGAATGTTTCCATTTCATCCCATAGCATGAATCATTGTTTTAAACCAAAAGGCAGTACTGATACAAGAGTCTAGGAGTTAAATCAGAGAGGTGGATGTAGTAGAGAAATGAATGGCCTTTGACTATGCCTCAATCAGGTTCTAACCCTGGGCTGCAATATCCTTTGACTTTGTAATGTTGGCCAAGTTTTGAACCAGTCTCCTGGGGGCAAAATGAGGATATGATATAATATTTACCTCATTGGATGTTTATAAAGCCTAAAAGACATGTGAAAAACATGTAGCATTTGCATGAGATGCAAATGTTCAATAAATATTTCTTCTTTGGAAGAGAGCTGATAGATGTGAAAGCTGGAAAGGAGAAAATGTATGTCAGGCTACTTCATTTAGAAGGGCAAAGAAAAGAGAAGTGGGAAATAAATTAGTTTTTGCCCAGCTCTCACTGCCTGGGCAGGACAGACCTCAACCCACCACTTCCTTGGACTTTGATCAGCAGCCTACTCCTCTCTTGATTCTTTCTCTTGGATTGAGTTGAAGTCTGAAATGGATTCTGAGCTCACACCAACATGAAAAGGTCAAGGATGATGTGAAAATTATTCTGTTCTCATTTCTTCCTTATTCTCCAGAATTGGAGATTTTTATAGTAGTTTCAGATAAATATTGGGCCATCTGAAAAGTCATGACGTATTTTTCTATGTTTTTCTATGCAAAAATGTGTCTTGACTCTTCCAACAACCCAATATATAAGGAGATGACTTATTTTGCCTTTCTCAGAATTTTTCTCCATTGTAGCAAGGAGCCCAATCTCAGGGGAAAATGCTTGTTTGAGAAATTAAAAGTCTGCACCGTGGTCAGCCTGTGAACTATTATC